AACTAATATATTTATATTTCAAGTAGTTATATGATATAAGTTATAAAAACTAATATAATATAACACATGTAAGTCATAAGTAACACCTATCATTCTAAAATATATAGTAATATATTTTTTTTCGTAAAAAAGTAAACTAAATTTACAGTTTTTTCATTAATTTTAAAATTTAAAAATATTTTTTTAACAAGCACCCGTGTAATACACGGGTGTTGTACTAGTAACTACTTTATAGTTAAATTTATTTCATTGGTAAATAATTTTACTTTTAATTTAAAATTAATAGATAATTTAAGCTTTATTTGTAAATATAAATATAATTGTTTTTATTTTATATATACAAAATGAATGTCAAATTGAAGTTAATCAAGAAATGATTAATTTGATATATCATATAAAAAATTAATAATAATTAGTAAATACAAAAGATAACTTTTAATATATTTAACCCAGTAAAGTGTATTATAATTTATTTTAAAAAAAATAAAAAATAAAAAGAGAAAAAGAAAGATTGAGGAAAAAAATTCATGCTTTGTGAACAATGTTCAGAACACAATTAATTCTAATAAAACAGTCATAAATATACAATATAATTATGATACTTTCAAACCTAATTATTTTTTGTTTGAAAATATATTAAAATCTATCCAAAACCAATGGCGAAGTATGAAATTTTCACACATATGATCACGAAGCGTGCGAGTCTGTAACGTAGACTCGGTACATTCGGAAATTACATATAAAGAGGGTAGACCCACATTATATGATGAATCTTTCCCCAGTTGAGCTTGAACAGGAGAAAGACGGTCAACAATCCCGACTTCCAATAATTAAGTGCCTAATGCTTATTATCATGTCTAAGAACTATAACAACTAAGTTGATGAATTTTAAAGAGCACGATTTAAACATGGACAGGTATCTTTTCCAGAAAGAATCATGAGCTTGAAAAGCATGTGCCCAATATTCGGGATAATTGTCCCAAAATGGTTCGCTCTACCGGACACGGCTCCACCACCACCATTTTGTTTTTGCGTGCAACGTGACGGGAACAACCATTCTGCTCTCTGGATTCTCGCTACCAATTTTCGCTACAACACATTTTAGAAGTTCACCATCAAATCAAAGCAATAATTTCAATTACGCCAATGATGTCACGCCCATAGTCTTTTTTATGTATCATGCTTCTACTGCTGAATATTTCTTGAATTTCATTGTTCTAGTTTGTGGAGTTATATTTATGTAGTTGTTTGTTATCAGAAATTTTCATTAATTATTATTATTGTTAAAAATTGGAGTGAGATGCTATTTTGAGAGGATGTCAATATTTTCTTATTTAATATATTGTTTTGGAAAAGAAATTTTAAGTGTTTAATAGAATTTAATTGTTTAAGAGAGGATCAAGGTTCTAATTCTCTTGCTGAGAGCCTAGATTCTCTCGTTGAGAGTCTTCGCAGTTTCTAATTCTCCCTTATTTCTTCATCTAGTTTGGATTTCTTTCTCAATTTCTTGTGTTTGGAGGCAGTTATTCGATCTTGCTCTAAAATTGCAGTGATTTTGATTCTAGGGCTTCGGTATGGCGAATTCATCTCCGCCAAACCCCGATGGTGAACTTGCTTCCAAATTGAACGAATTTTTGTTGTCAGATAGGGAAGTTAATGTGATTGATATAGCTCAGAGAGATATCCGACTTAGTGACGATGAGTGCCAAAGGAGCTTATTTGGGAAGGTTATCGGGGACAGGGTCGCAGGCTGGTTTGGGGTGAAAAGGGCCATGAACCAAATTTGGAAGCTCTCTCAGCCAATGGAGATCGAGGAGCTCAGCCCAAACTACTAATTTATCTTTGAGAGCAAGGACGATAAGGATCGGGTCGCAAGTGGTTCTAACTGGAGTTTTGAGAATCAATACTTGATTCTCAGGGACTGGACTCACAATCTCAATAGCAATCATCCAAGTTTCAACGAGATAAGCCTCTGGGCCCAAGTCATCAATCTGCCTCTAAACTGGACAAGTGTTGAAGTAGGATTAAAGATTGGGAAAACCTTTAAGGAAGTGAAGAACGTGGTCTTGGTAAACACAGACAGTCATGGAGGAAAGTTGCTCAGGCTGCTAGTTACTCTCAACCTTGATGAACCTCTGCCTAGAGTTGCTCAAATAAGGTTGGGGGATCAACTAGTTTGTGTTAGATTTAAGTATGAAAAACTGCTGAACTTATGCCACTATTGTGGCAAGATTGGGCATAGAACGTGCAACAAAAGACTCTTAGACATCAAAAACAACTCTCTGAGGGAAGGTCAATATGGGGACTGGCTCAGGGCTCCTGATGGTTTCAAATGGGTGGGTACAAATCTCTCAGGATCAAGGAATTCTCCTTAATCAAATTCCCACTCAGACTCAGAGCAAAGACACTCGCATAAAGCTTCAACAAGCCAAGAAGAGCAGAGCCAACAAATTATTCAAGTTAGGGAAGAATCTACTTCCCCACTTCTGCAGGGTGATAAAGACCAGAATAACTCTCCACCTCTAGAGAACACAGACATTGTTGCTTCCATCTCCTCTTCCTCAAAGGCTCCTATCCAGGAGGGGGTCGTAGTGGAGTCTCAGTTACAGATGGTGGAGTCTGTAGCAAGCATGGATATTGAGCAGCAAACTCCCTTGGTACAAGTAAAACCTTCGAAGCAGGCAGGTAAGGTTTCCACTATTCCAATTTCAAAGACTTGGAAGAGGTTGGGCATTAAATCTGGTAGATTGCAAAGAGAACCAGTGATTCCTATTGTCATTGTTAAAGTCTCTGGCTCTAAAAGATCTGCAGCAGAAGGTGAAATGCTAGAATCCTCTAAACTATCTAAAATTTCTAAAGGAGAGGATAAACTGATATTTGAGGAGACAACTGAAAAGGTGGGGGTTGCCAGCCTGGAATGGCACCCAGTGGCCCATGTTAGCTCTGGTGTGGAATTGTAGAGGGCTGGGTGAGCCCTCTACAATTTCCCAAACCAGAGAGTTACTCAGAACTCATCACCCAATTTTCTTTTTTCTATCAGAAACTAAAAAACCAGTTGCTTTTGTAAATACTGTCAGTAAGAAATTAGGTTTTGAGAATAGATGCTCCACAGTAGATCCTTCTGGCCTTAGTGGTGGGCTGGCTTTATTTTGGAACTCTAATGTTGTTATTAACCAGATTCAATGCAGACGACGCACAATGGTGCATATTTGTCTATTGCAGTCCTCTAAAGGCAGTTAGACTTTCTCAGTGGGAAGATTTGCAGTCTGCTAAAACAGTTTGGGGATCTAACTGGTTTGCAATTGGAGATTGGAATGAAATCTTTTCTCAATCTGAAAAGTCAGGAGGCCAGTGCAGAAATCCTAATTTTTTCTTGAGCTTCTCTTCTTTCATTAATAGCATGGACATGGAGGAAATTAAAATGGAAGGCTCACCCTACACCTGGTGCAATAATAGAGCCTATCCTGATCTAGTTGTGGAAAAGCTTGATAGAGGATTCTGTTCTTTTGATTGGGCTCTTCAATTCCCTAATGCCTTAGTCGCTAATGTTTTGAGGAGTGCCTCTGATCATTCAGCTCTCTTACTCAACTTGGGGCTTCCCAGAGAAGGAATGAAATCCATTTTCCACTTTGACAAAAGGTGGATCAACCAAGAGGATTGTAAGGAAGTTGTTCAACAATCATGGAATTCTGAAGTTCAAGGTACACTTTTTTTCCAGCTTAAGGAGAAAGTGAAGCTCACCTGAATAGCCATCCTGAAGTGGAGTTCCTCATTCCAAACTCACAGACAAAAAGAGATTGTTGAGCTAACTCATAAGATGGAGACCCTCAATGCAGATAAAGCAAACATCAATTGGGCAGAATAAGAGTCTACCAAGAGAGGGTTGAACTTAGCTCATAAACAAGAAGAATTGTTTTGGCAACAAAAAGCCAAGTCCGGGTGGCTCAAGGAAGGGGATGCCAACACAAGGTTTTTCCATGCTCCCTTGTACTCGTTGCACCCGGTTTTACCCACCTTCATGCGTGCGTCCTTACCTTCCATCAGGACTTTCGCCGGCTGCCTTAGTTCACGCTCATACGAGCTCCTCGATCCAAGCCCGTCTGCATGCTCGCGTGCACTGCGCATCCTCGTATACGGCCTCGTACACGTCTTCTTGGCCACGCTCGCATTGTTTCGGCCCTTTGCTCGGGCTATCTCGGCGCTCGGCCCTTCTCGTCATCGGGGGTCGAAACCCACATCTTCATCAAGGTGCTGCTGCGTAGCGCCGTTAGACCCTTAGCGAGTGTGAAGCGAGGAAAAAAGGAAACTGACGCCCAGGTGGGAATAGCGTCGCTATCATTTCGCCCATAGCGCAGCTATGTCCGTAGCGAAGGGTTAACGATGGGCTGCGAAAAGGTCCACGTCGGAAACGCGCCACGGCAGAGTGCCACATCACTCCTAGCGCCGCTATGGCCTGAAGCCAGTCAACGCACCATCAACTGCCTTGGTTGTGACCCGAGACTTGTTCCACCGAGCCGACGTGGGCCAAGTCCCATTGGGACCCTTTGCATTTCATTTCCAGTGACCTTTGAGCGAACAACCGGCCTGTGGTTGTCCTCGTATATCTTATCTCGCGAATGAGGAACCGACCTGTGGTTGTCCATTACGCTTTGTATGACGTCGAACGGTCCTTGTACTCAGTTTTGATCTATATATATTTACATTTAACATTTACATTTAACGATAAAAAAAAAATAAAAAATACATA